CCTGTCCCCGAGCGCCCTCCCTGTCCCCGAGCCCCCTGCCTGTCCCCGAGCCCCCTGCCTGTCCCTGCCCTCGCTGCAGTCATGAGCTTCCCTGCTCGGTTTCTGGGCAGCACTTGGTACTTTCTAAACGACCTTTCCGTAATCATGACCCAGAGAGGTTGACTCGAGTGATTATCCCCGTTACAGATGGGGAGATGAGGCAGAAACGGTGAGTCTGGCATAGGGGTCCCGCCTCAATACCCAGCGCGTAGTTTGAATGGACATAATCTGCTCAGTCCCCTCCTCGTCTTTGGTCGTCTTACTTCCATAATCCATGCACCTCAAGGCGAAGGTCAGCTTCCTAAGCACCTCAGATTTTTCAAATGATTCCTCGGTGCGTGTACTGCTAGCCGGGCCGTGGCTCGCGGCCTCGCTGAGAGCCCAGGCCCATGAACAGCCATGATGATGCACCGTGGTGGCTGCGATCATGGATGGGGGCTGGAGGCTCAGGGAAAGGGAGGTGGCCTCTGGGGAGGGTGCCCACGGAAGCAGGCAGTGGACGCCCAGGGCTTCTGTAGCCCAGGAGTTCACTCTGACCAACACGTCTCCAAGGGTTTGGTCATTGATGGTTTACTTTTCAGTCTCCCCGATAACCTGTGAGTCCCTGAGGTAGGCAGAGTCTTCCATCTCTGTGCCCTTAGAGCCTAGGCCAAGCTCTACAGATAAGAGCTGCTCTATCAGAGATTCCTGTAAACTCATTAATGGAGCAGGAGACAGGTTCTGACCTTGGCTCCTTCTCTCGGTTGCCGGGTTCCCTCCTCACCCGGATGGTCTTCACTTCCGTGGTTAAGAGCTCCTGCCCCCCACCTTGCTGATTTTGTCTCCTGTCCTCAGTAGAGGTCGAGCTCCTTGCTCTCTTTTTTATAACATGTTAGAGACTCACTTTATCTCTGTATCTGGGAGAAACATGGAAGTGAGCCATCAACCCCTTAACAGAAGGGAAATGAACACCTACGGGGCACTCACTGACCTAGGAGCCGAGTAGATGTCACCTCGTGTAATCTGCGCCCTGGGGGGGAAGTCAAGTCATCCCTGGACTTTACGCTCACAGGCAGCTGGAATGCAAAGCCACGTTGGCATGCCTCCAAGCCCGTGCCAGTTCACCTGCCCCTTCACCGCCTTCCAGGTCCTGCTGCTAATTCATTAATCCAGCAACGGGCCATTTTCTACAGAGCGATCACATTTATTTATTATTATGGTTCCACAGCGCTTAATTCTTAACTTTCAGAGTAAGAGCTGAAATTCATTTTAAACTAGTCTATCCAAATGCAACAGAAGCATCCTGATTTTTTCTGTGCATATTTTCTTAGATCATCTGAAAGCTTCTAAAGAACCTCGATTGCATTTATAGACTAACGTTTCCCACAAAGGACACAATTTAAAAGATAATTAGATGAATCCCTGACCGTTGAAGAGACAGGCAAGGCCCCCCTCTCTTTTCCCCCTGCTCCGTGAGCGCCCTGCCCCCTCACACGCATGTGCACCTCTTGTTTTCAGAGCTGAGTACAAGGAGCATTACAAGTCCAGGGACTTGAAAGCCTTCTCTGCCGAGCCCTTACTCATCTACCCCACACACTACACGGGCCAGCCGGGGTACCTGAGTGACACGGAGACCTCTACCATCTGGGACAACGAGACAGTGGCCACTGACTGGGACAGGACCCATTCCTGGAAGTCCCAGAAGCAAGGTCACATCCACCGCAATGCCAAGAACACCGAGGCCCTGCCCCCGCCAGCCTCCCTGGACACCGTTCCTTCGAGGGATGAGCTCTGAAGGCCCCCCCTGGGGTTCGCTACCCTCTGGTTTCTCTGATGGGCTGTTCATCTGTTCGCTCTGGTTTCTTCTTGTGGCCACAGTCATCTAACCGAAGTGGTCGAATGTGATTGACCAAAATTAATATGTTTCTGACAAGGAAGGAGAAATAAGAAAATTAAGCTCAAATTTTCCTAAATGGCTAGAAGATAGGCTTTAAGGCGCCCATTAAGGTAAACTTTAGTGTAGACACCTAGTCCTCTAGTTCATCACCCATTGAGACTGGTTCTCACATTGAGGTTGAAAATGTGGCTCAGAGACTTGTCCAAGAGAAAGGCGATCACTTCACTGCCACAGCAGTGACCGGGTGGGCAACGTAACCACGCCAACTGGGTCACATCTATTGGTCTAGAGGGCTCATTTTATATCATAGATGTGACCTTGAAAACTAAGGGTAGGTAACAAGTTTGGGGGGAGGGAATCAAATCGTTTAAAATCAAATTAATTGGGCTTTTTGTTTAAAGGAATTCTGTCATGAGCCTCGTTACAAAGTGAGTTTTCCATCGTAGTCCTCGTTACCCAACAGGGGTGAGTATTGGGTCTGTCTGCGACGTGGCCTTCGACTATCGTGGCAGCTGAAGCTCTCAGAGTGAGGCTCCCGCTTGCCACGTGGGTATAGTTTAGTAGATATTTGGGGGTTTGTGTAGATATTTGAGGGAAAAGGAGTTGAAATGTTGGCCTTTCTGACTGTGGTCACTTGAGTTAGGATTCTCTATTTATGAAGATAAATTTAATATATAAGGGGTGAGGGTTGGCGTCTAACTTCTGTCCCAGGGGATCTGCATGTCGGACGCTCCCCTCCACCCCTGGCCTGGGAATGAATTGCAGGCGTGAGTTTCACGAGTCACTGTTAGTCAGCAGCCGCCCTTGCCCGAGGTTTTCATTCTCGTTGGAATTATTTATTTTACAAAACGTGGGGGAGATATCTGTACGATAAGGCAGAGAAACAGATGTTTCAGGCTTTATCGTGCTTACAGACTAAACACAAGGGCACCCTGGGGGGTGAGTGGTCAGTGTAGACACATCAGTTCCACGATCTGTTCTCCTGCATTTCCCGAGAGGACTCTTGGTGAGTGGGAGATTCTAACCACCTGGAAGCAGATGATTCTCCGTCTCAGGTGAGAGACCTTGGTCCAAAGCAGTGGACTGATCAACTGATTGAGGCCAACCGCCAGGAAGCTCTCAGAGTCAGGATCCTGGGCAGACCACCTCTGTGCTGCTCCGTAGGTTGATTTCCTGTAACAGGCAGAGTTGGCTACATCACCTCTTCCAGCTCCACCGTCTGAGATCACCGGCCGTCATGCTTCAGGTTGACGTTCTCCTGCCCTCAGGAACTAAAGCTTCACCTCTGGAAGTAGCCTTCCCAGCATCCTGTCCACACACTCCTCCCTCCGTGTCCCCGTGTTGGAGCAGAGGCCTTGGGCGAGGCTGCTGCATGTGACAGTTTAGTGCTCCCTTGGTGAGGGCCCCCGGCTGCAGAACAAGGCAGCTCGCCTTCCGCAGAACACCAGCCTTGGCCTTTCTTCTGGAATTACCGCTGATATTCCTCTACGTTGACTAGTAAGGCCAGGAAACTGAGGCGAGGGATCTTGGCTGACTCTTAATTTTTACCGCTTAGACAAAGCAGTCAGAGCTTGACTCTTTTTTTCTAGGGGAAAAAAAAAACAGGAAGAGCACCTGAAGAGCTCGTGAAAAACCCTTGGGCAATTCCTAAGGTTTCCTTGGGTATCTCGTACTTTGCGTATTTCAGTGTGTGCGAGTGTGCGTGACCTTCATGGTATTTTTTTTAATGGGGCGGGAGGTGGCTGGGGTGTTGGGAGTGGAGGGGTACTGAGGTTTTTTTGTGTGGTTTTGTTTAATAGAGAACATTTTCTCTCCCCCATCAGCTGGTCTGGTGGGTTTATGAATTCCCATTCTTAAAAGACATTGGTTTTAAATTCTAGAATTTTTTTAGATTAGGGCTGTTCTACTGTGAAGAAAGTTCTGGCTCTCTTAGCCCAGCCATTGCTTCTCCCTGCTCAGGTCTGGAATCCCAAGCAGTGTCCCCTTGCTGTGAGCACTGCAAGCTGCCCACCCAGTGGTCCTTTACAAAGTCGCCTCTCCAGCAGCCCAGGGGTTCCTTGACCTCATTGTCCTTCCTGCCTCCCCTCTAGTCTCAAGTGAAGACATCTGATCTTCGCTGCATCAGAGGCTCTGCCTCCAGCCGTGGCACCTGTTCTCTGCCTTTGGAAGTCAAACCCCCACCTGGATTCCCCATCTGGATCCCTATCTGGATCTTGGGATCTGAGGTGGAATCTCCTGGACAGACAACCGTGATGTCAGCAGTGCTGGTGCTGCTGAGTGTGGGTGGAGTGTCCACAGCTGGCAGAGGACACACCATGTGGGCCTTGCTTTGGGTTCATGGGGCCACTGCAGGGACTCTGGACAGCAAGAGCGAGCCAGCATCCCAGCACCCTACCCCGTCTGTCATGCTGTGTCATTTCCCGAGAGGAAGTGAGAAACTACTATTTGCCTTCTAGAGCTCTCTCTGAAAAATTAAAAAAAAAAATTTTGGGCTCAACACTATGATTGTTCATTGGTTCCTCCAACATGATCAATGGCCAATATTGGGATTCCAGGTCTGCTCTGGAACAAAGGTGTGGAAGGCAGAGATAACCATCATAGCTGCGTGATCCCCCTGGCAAATGAGAGAGGGTGGCCTTCCTGTAGGTGGGGGTTGTTTTAGATGGCTGGGCAGAGGTGGGTCAGCTGAAAAGGATTCTAGGCCACAGAAAGGCAGGAGTCCCCGGTGGGAGGGTGCTGAGGAAGAGTCCATGTGCATTTTTGTGCTATAGGTCAGCCTGTCCATCAAAAGGTACTATGATGCTTTTCCAAAGTCAAAGAGCTTTATCCTGGGCAAATAAAGTTGAATCCATGTTCACCTTAGTAACTCGAGTTTCAGATCATGCTGCCTAAAAACTTCAAAAACAAGGTCTGAGCACCGCTCTATTTAGGCCCTGTGCTGGGCACTAAGATGCTCAAAGGACTAGGAAAGGTCCCCACTGCTGTGGTCGAGTGGAGCAGCCATGTGAGTAGGTGGCTTTATCTCAGAGGCTGGAACAAAGTGGGCCGTAGGACCCCAGAGGACCTGGTTCCGCTGGGGAGGACTGTTGAGGCAGCTTTGTGGGGAAGGTGACAGTTGTGTTGGCCTGGGGGGCACGAATGGGAGTCTAAACAAGGCAGGAGGGTTGGGCAAGGTGCGTGGGAGTGCTTACTGGGTACTGCGAAGGCGTGGGGCTGTGGCAGAGACGGGGAGCTGGGTAGGACAGAAGAGTCAGATACGTGTTGGGGTTGATGACAAGAAGCAATATGGGACTGGATCATGGTAGCGAGATAAGTCGGCTACCCTCCCTCTTCAGGTTGCCTCGTCATGAATGCCATTGTTCCTGGGTGAATTTTAGGTTTCGTCCTGATGACAGTGCAGAAATTTCCAGTAAAATGCTGGTGTCTGAAATAAGGAATGTTCCCACCTACCTGCACCCTTGGGAATCTTTTCACTTACGGTAGGATTAAATCTCTCTAACAAGGAACTGTCACATACAGGTGAGGGGTCTACCCGGTGCTTTTGAGACGTTCTCTCCAGGTGAACAGACGGGAAGAGGAATGACCCAGGAGGAATTAATTCACTGAGGAGTTAAAATGAGGCTGGGCATGTGATAAGAGCATGGCCTGGGTAACAGAACCCTAAGAGCAGGCAGCCCTGGAAATCATCGCACCAGACTTTATGTTTCGTGGTGATGTTTATTATTTCAGAGAGAAGCTTCCTCCCTAGGATGTTCTAATTAAATGTGGCTGAGGGAGGAGGGCCAGGCAGAGAGAGCAGTGGCATGTGAGGTGGCCTCCCTGTGACAGCAGGTGGCGGCCCTAAGTCCACGCAGGGCTGCTGAGACAAGAATGAGGAGTCGGGCCCGCGGTGGCCCGTGTGTCCTTTCTGCCTGCTTGGAAAAGACAGAGATGGTGGCGGGTTCTGGTGCACAGATGGCGGGCAGTGGCACCTCCTCAGGAACGGAGCAAGAGGATGTGGCCTGACTCAGAGCACGGAGAGGCTGGGGGAGCTTCAGGAAGTTTCTTCCCAGGCGTGTTCAGCACTGAATGGGCGTCCGGGCAGGTGGTGCGGTGGCTCCGTGAGAATGTGCTGTTGCAGGACAGGGCACCTCCTGCTCTGAGAGTTGACCTAAAACAGCCTGTGTGTTTCTTTCCACCCCGGGATGTGTTAATATTGAGATGATCTTGCTCTGGCCGCTCCTGTGACACCAGCTGGGCTGCTCCCAGCCCAAAGCCATCCTCCCATCTGCCCGGAAAGGGGTGGAAAGAATGAAGAATTGCCTCTGAGCATTGGTTTCCCTTTATGTTTAATTTACTCAGTTTATTTGTATGCTCCTCCCTGCGGTTTCTTCAGCTTGGCTGCCTCTAGAATGGGCGTTTTAATAAAATCTCCACGTCTGAGCAATTCCAGGGCTCGCAGAGCGCAAGCTTCCCAGCCCCCCGTGGGTCCAGGGGGGCTCCCCTTGGTGTTTCCAGGTCTAGGGGAGGCTGGACAGACAGCTGAGTTCTTGCTCATGAGGGAACCTTCAGCGTGTAGCGGACGGCCCTCTGTCTCCTCCTTCAGAGAAGCTTAGAAAATAATGTGACAAGTGTCCTTTTCTGAAAGAGAACCTGCAGTTTGGAGAAGACCCCAGATGGGAGCTGATGCCCACGTGGTGATGGTCAGGGCTGAAGGGTTTTAGCTGCTCTGAAAACTGCCGGCACGAATTGTGGAGATTTGATGGGGCTGTGATTGTTCCCATGGCACAGGGAGGGACCTGTGCTGAGTGCCAGGGGACAGAGGAGAGGCGCAGAGAGGAAGGAAGTGGCTTCCAGGGCACAGAGCACAGAGCACAGAAATGCGACGACAGGGGAGAAGAGACAGATTCAGGCCCCTCAGCGGAGAAAGTGAGGCCAGAAAAGAAGGGAGGGCCAGAGGGGAACAGCAGACCTGGGGAGGCTTAGGCGGCAGTGGCAACACCTGGACCCTAAAGTGGCTGCTTTGTCCCTTCGAACCTGCAACAGTGGGAGAGGCCCAGTGTGGTTCAGCAGGACACCTGCAGAGGAACGCGGGGGACACCTAGGGCCCCCCCACCCCAGTGCTTGTGGACCTGCTGCGACTCATGGTCATGCACCTGAATGGTCCCTGAGCAGGGAGAGACACGGGAGGGAGGACCNCTGGGACAGAAATGCGACGACAGGGGAGAAGAGACAGATTCAGGCCCCTCAGCGGAGAAAGTGAGGCCAGAAAAGAAGGGAGGGCCAGAGGGGAACAGCAGACCTGGGGAGGCTTAGGCGGCAGTGGCAACACCTGGACCCTAAAGTGGCTGCTTTGTCCCTTCGAACCTGCAACAGTGGGAGAGGCCCAGTGTGGTTCAGCAGGACACCTGCAGAGGAACGCGGGGGACACCTAGGGCCCCCCCACCCCAGTGCTTGTGGACCTGCTGCGACTCATGGTCATGCACCTGAATGGTCCCTGAGCAGGGAGAGACACGGGAGGGAGGACCCGAGAGAGGGGAGGGTGCCTTCTGGTAACACAATTGTCCCTCCCTGACTACAGAGGAAATTCAAGAAGGTGGGAGCCTCATGGGGCCCACTCTGACTCCATGTGGTGACGACGCTCTGGCTTTGGGAGGGACACGCCTGCTCAGTGGGCTGTCACAGCCCGGCCAGCGTGCGTCCACACTGCAGCCTGCAGCCCGCCCGGCTTGTGCTCAGGGCCCCGGGGGCCCGGGCCCCTCTCCGGGAGCCTCCGGCCTGCGGCTGTGGAACAGGCTGGAGCAGCCCTGGCTGCCCTCCCAACCCCGAGTCAGTCTTTCCCGAAGCTGCAGCAGCCTTCGCTCTCCCAGGGCGCCGTGCACACAGCCGAAGTCCCACCTCTGAGCGGCTGCAGCTCCAGCGCCCGGCTGCTCGGCCAGGGAAGGGGCCGGAGGGCTTCAGGGAAGACGCGGCTTCCCCAGGCCAGGCCTCCCGGTGGTCGCAGCAGCCGACTCTTACTGCGTGCGCCCGAGTCCTTTCTTCACTCACGTGGGCTGCGTCATTCAATCGCACGTGAACCTCCACAGGTGGGAACTATTGTCAACCCCTGCTTTTCGGGTGAGGCAATGAGCTGAGTGACTTAGCTAAGGCAGTGAGTGGCCTGGGAGTCCGATCCCAGCCACACCAAACCATCCATGCGGCTTCTGGTGTGGTCTGTCTCACTTATTTCTCACTAACATCTGATGTTTCCATCTCTCTCTCTCTCCCTTCCTCTCTCTGAAATCAATAAAGATATATTTTT